CCGGGCCCTGCTGACCCTGGCTGAGCGGCTGGGGGAGGCCAAGCCGCGGGGACTCACCAAAGCAGACATCGAGCACCTCCCGTCCTACCGCTTCAACCCCGAAAGCCACCAGTCCGAGCAGACCCTGTGAGTGAACCCGGGGTGCAGATGGGGGGCACAGGGGTGCCTGGTGGGGGGGCCGGGTGCCGTGGCTGCACGGTGGGGCCATACTGACGGCTGCCTCCCCCAGGTGCGTCGTGTGCTTCAGCGACTTCGAGGCCCGGCAGCTTCTCCGCGTCCTGCCCTGCAACCACGAGTTCCACGCCAAGTGTGTCGACAAATGGTTAAAGGTACTGCCTGTGCCCTTTGAGGACTGGGGTGGGTTCTTGGGGGGGGATACTGCCTTTCAGGTGGTATGGGTGCCATGCAACACCGGATGCACTGGGAGCCGGGGGCAAGTGCCATGCTGGACTGGATCAGGCACTCCCAGGATGTGGCACACTGCCGGATGCTTCCAGCCCTTGGAGGTGGGGTGGAGGGGGTGTCCTAGATGCAGCTGGTGCCATGGGGTGCCTGCTCACTTTTCCCCATCTCTCCTTGCCTGTAGGCGAACCGCACGTGCCCCATCTGCCGGGCGGACGCGTCGGAGGTGCAGCGGGAGGCGGACTGAGGCTGACGGGCGCTGTGCCGCACAATTCGCTAGAGGACGAGGACGCCGGGCCGGGGGCGGGGGCCGCTGCCCGCTGCTAGGGCCTGACCCTGCGCTTACCCCCCCTCCCCAAAGCCTCTCCTCAGATGTGGTGAGCATTGAGCAGTCCGGGCTCCCGGCCAGCCCTCCTCCTCCCCGCCGGGGCACGGACTCGGCCGGACGCCTGCCCGCTGCGCTCCCAGGGCCCCGAATCGTGTTGTGCTGGAGGCAGGAGGCGCGTGGCCGTGCCCTCCGCGCTCCAAAGACGCTGTTGTTGCTCCATCACTTTCCAGGTCTTTATACTCCACTAGGGAATTAGTGTTTTTTCCCTTTGTCACTTTTTTTTTTTTCATGATAGGATGGGTTTTTTTTT